AATATCACCACTACTCATCTTTGCACCAATAAAACGTAAAAACACTGTTTTTCTATGTGTTTTATATGTATGTAAATTATATTATATCTATGCAAATTATATGTAATATCTAATTATTATAAAAAGTTTCACGATTTATTTCACAACATGATGCATGATGGGATACACTAAGCCTCGAATACTGCTTATAGGTAACTCATTAGGTTATATACACTAAACACGTTTGTGAACGATGTTTTCTCTGTTTTGGAGGGATGAACACTGTTAAATTATATTTATTGCATCAAAATGTGTTAATAGTCTACCTTACTATAGGTTAGGGATCATTTTATCCTACCAGGCGCGTCACGTGACTAATAAATATTCATGAGCTAAGCTTTCTCCGTAGTACGATTGGTGAATTCGTTTCCTATCTAGGAAGTTAAGCATTTCGAGTAGTGATTCAACGCGATTAAGCGTTTACAGTGATTAATATCGTTATCGATAGCGAAATTTCATATAATGTGATGAATATAAACTCAAAAGAAGGGTTCATTTGAGACGGTAGGCTGTTATTTACGTGACTTTCTATTGCTGATGTGGAGCACAAGCCTTCACGATCCGTGTGTATCCCATCATTGTTTTCCGCATCTGTTCTTCTTATCAATACCATTCCGTTTCGATGTACAAACGTGACACATTTATTTGCTAGAGGAACGGTTTGTTGTGAGATTTGTCAGTGATATCTATTGGAATGTGCGACTTGATATTGCTATGGCAACGTGTCATCAGTGCTTATGGACCAAAACATGAATATCATCAGTGTGATGAGAGATCGAAGTGAAACCTTTCAGATCAGATTGTTGATACATTTTAGATCATTATATTTGTAAATTTGTATCATTATATTTCTATTTAAAAGTAGGCTAGCTTGAAAGAGCTGACTACTAATGCAAATATCTGTGTACTGATTATCATGCATAAACACATTAACAGGGATGCAGTAATACTAGTGCAGCTTCACTGTTTACACATGCTTAATGTTCAAAAAATCACTTACAGATAAATCACTTACAATGAATGTTGCGAGGAAAAATACATGTTTACTTTATTTGTAGATTGGGGTTCAAAAGACTGCTACCACACTAAAAGACTGGAACTGGGAATGTAAATGAATTATGCAATAAACAATGTCTTTTTAGTATCATTGATGGTTTGAATCAGTTTTTGCTTTTATTTTTCATTTTATTTTCTTTTTTTATTTGAATTTTAAAATAAAATGAGAAATGTAGCTGAAATAAAAGTTTTTTTTTGAATATTTTATTTTATTTGAGTTAATGTTTACTTAAAGTAATGAAAATGTGTGATTTTTAAAAAAAAAAGGCTTTTAGTTTTGGTTTTAGTTTTAGTGAGCTATAATAATCTTGGTAAATAAATAGGAAATTGTAGGATTTAGAAAAAGCAAACCTAGTAGTACTGATTTGAAGTGTTGATTTTTAACATTTAAGATACAAACATTTATTTTATACTATTATATATTTTTACATTATGTAAAATCTTATTGTAGCCATATATTTTTTATCATTTTATTCAATGTTTTTCTGAACAAAAATAATGCAAAAAAAATTTGTGATATCCTAGAATCAGAATTCGCTAGAAAGCATTACATCACCAAATACTTACGTTTGTTGTGCAGCTTGTCACTTAAATTATTTATCATTAGAAAAATGCAAAAAAAAAAAAAAGCATCTGGTCTCAGACTTATGAACCCCAGCCATATGTTTTGGCATAAATTAACCCCTTTTTTGGATGTACCTACATTGGTGTTGAAGAGCTGTCTTCAATTGCTTTTCTGTTGCTCAGAGGGAGCGGACCGGAGACTCCACCATGGCAGGAGATGAAGTTCGGCAGAGGAAAGGAGGTGGCCGCAAGAAGCCCAAAAAGGGGAAAGGGAAGGGGCAGGGTGGTTTGGATCGGACTGGCAGTCTAGAGGGGCAGAATGACCTCCTGTTACCCCCTCCCACCATACCACTCAAAAAGCCTGTGGAAGACAGGACCAAAACAGCCCAGGCTAAGATAGAGGATGAGTCGGCTGTTTCTATCTGCCTGCAGGTGCTGTTCCCCTACCTGCTGGCTGGGATGGGGATGGTGATGGCAGGCATGGTGCTGGACAGTGTGCAGGTAAGAGACTTTTGAAGAACTTTCTGCAACTTTATGTAACACTTTATAGCCTGACATGACTTTCCAACAGTTTGAGGTTGATGCTATAGCAGCTAATGTGCCCACTTTAATTATCCAGCGTGTCAAGTGATGATATTTATGGTCCTCACTTAGAGGAAGCAGAGTGTGAGGGAAATTAATGTGATGATTAAAATTCACTCGGAAGGCGAGGAACTGGAAAAACACTCCAATCATGAAGTATTGAAGCAGTAGTTCAACCAAAAATTGTCATTTTAAAGTCATTCCAAACCTGTATGTTTTGTGGAACACAAATTGAGATGTTTTTACAAAATGACTAGGCTATAAATGAATGGTTTTTGAATAGGTTTTTAGGACGGTCAAGCTCCAAAAATGGATAAGATGAACATAATAATTTATAGCCTGACATGACTTTCCAACAGTTTGAGGTTGATGCTATAGCAGCTAATGTGCCCACTTTAATTATCCAGCATGTCAAGTGCTGATATTTATGGTCCTCACTGACAGGAAGCTGAGTGTGAGGGAAATTAATGTGATGATTAAAGGCGAGGGACTGAAAAACACTCCAATCATTAAGCATTAAAGCAGGTGGTCACCCAAAAATGATGTCATTTTGAAGTCATTACAAACCTGTATGTTTTGTGGAGATGTTTAACAAAATAACCAGGCTATGAATGAACGGTTTTTGAATTTTTTTTTAGGACAGTCAAGGTCCAAAAATGGACAAAATAAACAAACATAATAGGACAACGTTATCAAAGTACCATAAAAGTGGTGACTCGTGTCCCTTTCTTGAAGCTGGAAAACTCCAGTCACTACAAAATGAAATGTGGCAAAGCATATATTGAACACATTTTATTACATATTGCACATGTTCGTGATACGGACATAAGATCCTTATGTCCACCAAGAGATACAGATCTCAGAAGAAATCAGTCAGAATTGTGAGATTTAACCTTGGAATTCCAAGAAAAAAATAATGAAAAGAATTGCAAGATAGAAACCTGAAATTTTAAGTTAAAAAGTCAGAATTGCGAGATGTTGACTCAAAATTGCGAGATATAAACTCAGAATAGTGAGAAATAAAATCAGAATTGTGAGGTCAACTCAAAATTAGTCAGAAATAAAGTCAGATTTGTGAGATGTTAATTAATAATGGCAAGATATAAACTCAAATTGTGAGAAATAAAGTCAAAATTGCAAGATGTAAACTAGGAATTGCTAGAAAAAAGTAAGAATTGTGAGATGTTGTTAATTCATAATTGCAAGATATAAACTCAGAATTCTGAGAAAAAAGTCAGAATTGTATGTTATGAACTGAGAATTGTGAGATGTTAACTTAAAATAGCAAGATATAAATTCAGAGTTGTGAGATAAAAAGTCACAATTACATTTTTTATTTTTTATTCTGTGGCAGAAACAGGCTTCCATGTGAGAGTAAGTAAATATTGAATATTATATCATGTGCCTAAAATTTGTTGTTATAGAACCAGTTGTCATATAATAGTTTTAAGAGATGCTGTGTTCTGATGGTGTTTAATGAATGAGATGTCTGTCTGGATTTGCTGCGTCACTGTGCCGTGTTCACGACCGAGCAGGTTTTTTTTTTTTAGCTGAATCATGCCCCTCTTTCCAACGTGTCCTCTACGTACTGGCAAGCGGTAGAGTGGTAAGTAATCGAACAACGCTGGGAGTGGATGGTAGAACCCCATGGGTTCTCAATCTGTCTCTTTGTCTCTCTCACACAATCTTTTCCTCTCCTCTTTTCCTTTCCCCCCTCTCGTCCGTCTGCCAAGCACTCAGCCCATTCACAGCTGATAAGACAGGTTCAGTAATACATCAGAGGAGACATTAGCAGAGAGCAGGACAAGGGGACAGACGCAAGACTCTGAGCAGATGAAACGGTTGATGGGAAGTAATAAGGGTTAGACGAGTGACTGTTCGAGGGCCTGATGCACTGGTGAGGAGGGGGCCTAAAGGACTGCCCACAGCAACGAGTGGAAATAAAGCCTCAACATGTGTTTCTGTCACGTTCTGGACCTGTTAGACCAGGCCTGATGACGGAGAGGAGTTTAAATCGACGTTGATACGGACAGGACTGTTTGTCATGTGTGTCACGACTCCTGTGGCGGAGAGAAGCTGCGCTCTGGAGAACGTAGTGTTCGTGTACATGGACGTTCCAGCGACCTGCGAGTGAAAAAAAGAGGCAGCTTGGGAATTATTGTAGCAGTCTTCAAGGGACAGCAGTGGAGAACAACTAGATACTTAATTTCATCAGGCATAAGCCAAGTCTCGAAGATTTTCAAGAAGTGGATTCTGGCGTTCAGAGAACCAGCTCAGCCGAGGCTTTTTTGAATGTGAAGGTTCCTGTTGGATTTTGGTAGAAAACCCACGTGGCATTGATAGATGAATGAATGACATCTTCAAGAAGAACTGAAATATATACTGCGTGCTTCAGCCAACTTTTTGGGCCTTTGCTATCGTGGGACAATCTGAGGATACTAAATTGCCTCATCGTTTAATCTTAAGAACATCCTGTTTTCTGAGTCAGCATATTAATATAGTTCTTCCCAACCTGTTTGTCTTGAGCTTCTTATTTAGTTTCGAGACATTATGAAAGGAACATTCAGCCATCTAGGAGGGTGTTAAAAGCTTCTTGGAACCCTCGTCGATCTCAGCTGTGGCCCTCACCGTTGGGGAATGGGGTAACAGAGATGGTGGTCACTCAGTTAGAGCTGGAGCTCTGTTATCAGGGGAAGAAGCTCAGAGGTTTCACCTGCAAGCTCACTCGTTCGGCTCATGGTTTCTTGCCGGAGAGCTCGTACATCATCGCTGCGCAGGTCCTACTGCCTTATCTGCTGGGCGGACTGGGGATGGTGGCGGCCGGTATCGTCATGGACATTGTCCAAGTATGAGCGGTTTAATCTAGATTTGGTTTATTTCTTGGTTGTATCTGTTATTGAATCTGTAAATATCGGCGGTACCATGGTTCAGTGATGGGATCAGATAGTAATACTTTGATACACAAAGTTATTATAAAAGTTATTTTTTTGGACATGTGCCATGGTATTGCCATGATTTTCATTGAAGTACCTTGGAGTACTATGGAAATACCATGGGAGCACTGTATTTTAGTAAGGGTATAATACTATTATATTCATATACCATGGTATGCTCACGTTACTTCAGAAATATCATATGATATACATGTCTAAAAATATGACATTAGCATTTTTTAGGTTTATTTTGTTAGTGGGTAAATGTTGAAGTATATCAGTAGCGAATGTTAAAGGTGCAATAGGTGATTGTCTTCAGAAACATTTTTTGTTATGGTGGTTGAAAGTCTCTTCACATTCCGATAGCAATCATTAAAGGGATAGTTCACCCAAAAATGAAAATTTGATGTTTATCTGGGCATCCAAGATGTAGGTGACTTTGTTTCTTCAGTAGAACACAAATTATGATTTTTAAGTCCAGCCGTTGCAGTCTATCAGTCGTATAATCTATGAGAGTAAAAAAAACATGCACAGACAAATCCAAATTAAACCCTGCGGCTCGTGACGACACATTGATGTCCTAAGACACGAAACGATCGGTTTGTGCCAGAAACCGAACAGTATTTATATAATTTTTTACCTCTAATACAGCACTATGTCCAACTTCCTTGAGCGCCCACACGGCATCCGGTGCGTGAGGTGTGTACGCGCTCTGGCGTAGTTTACGTTAAAGGGTGTGTTGATATCCAGCCGAAGAGCAATCAACCATAACTTCAGGCGAGCAGGCTCAGAAGTTGGGAATACGTGGAAAGTCACCACTCCCGAATGAGTTCGCGCGAGAGAAAGATAGATTTTGATACCATTGCCATGCATTATACGACTGATAGACTGCAACGGTTGGAGTTAAAAATCATCATATACAGAAGGATTTATTTCAAACACTCGACTGACATTATGAAGTGAGTTTGGAGTAAAACGTTATTAAATGTGGTATATTCATGTGCTCTCAGATGGAGCAGCATTTACTACACATAGCCGTTGATGTAGCCTATTGTAGTAATGTTGTCTCTGGTATTCTGGTCTGTGAGCGTATGTGTGTTCAGGGGGCGTGGCTTTGGACGGCGATTGCAGGGAGGGTGGGACGTTCGCTTTCAGTGCTATCAGGATAAAGATAGCATTTTCCAAGATCTCCTACTGCACCTTTAAAGACGTAAGCCAGGTTAATAAGAGAAAGAATAAGAAAATAAGACTAAAACTAACGTATTCTTGGTAAAATCACTGCGATGCATGGCTTTGAATGGCTTAATGCTTTAATAACATGACAGCAACAGCAGCTTGATAACGAAAAAAAAAAAAAAAATTCATAAAATTAATTGATCAATACATTTATTGAAAAAATTATATTCTTTTTTAATAAAAATATTTTTATATAAAAGGTTCAAATGTGAAATTTTAAACCACTTACAAGGCAGTGTTATTATTAACTAACACTCAGACATTTTTTTTGTTAATTGAAATAAAGAAGGAACAAAATAAAGTATTAAATGATAAAAAAAAAACTTAAATGAAATTAGACATGTTAAAAATAAATACATAAAAAATAACAAAATGAAAAAGGATAAAATAAATTAAAATAAAATAAAGATTAATAGAAATACACACACACAGACACATACAGATAAAACTGGCAAAAACCATTACAAAATTACTGAAACTTTAACTAAAATTAAAATATATAACATTGCTTATATGGTATGTGCCATTATTATACCTTAAGATAAACTCTAGAATAATGTAGATTTAAAGCTATTGCATTCTAGCACAAAAAATATTTGAATATTTCAGTTAGCAATTAGCATACTCATTTTTTGTACACTATACAGTTGTCTCATAGGATATCAGCACACTTCACAAACACATGGTAGCTTCCAGTAACGGTTCCTTGTGTTCCTGTCCTCTAGATAGACGCGGTTGGCATGGACTGTGTTTTGTGTCTATTAATTGAATTCTCATTGGGGCGGGTGAGAGAATGAAAGCTTGTTTCTAGAGCAGAAGTGGGCTAGATCCCAGGACGGGCCTGTGACGTGACACCAGCCTGGACTGTGCCTGTGGTAAAAATACCGGCCCCTGGCTGGCTGGCACCGGTCTCTTATCTGTTCATTTAAACATTATGGCTATTTTTAACTTCATGAGTGGGTTTGCGAAGAGAGGAGCTCTCAACTCATATACTGACACGTACTAAATTTAAATGCACACTCGCACAGCGCAAGAAGCCATTCATATTCAGTGAGTCCCTGACACTTTGGTCAGTTTACCCGTTATGAGATGATATTTATGACTTTGCTGATGACTAGTCTGTGTTTTGATTTGAAGTATCAGAAAAAAGGCTGAAACTGACACCTAGTTTGAATTCATCTGTACTCTTTCATTCGATTGAGAGCATCTCAGTTTATGGCCTGTACATTAAGACGTCACTCAGTTTTAAAATATTGATCATGATGGTCACATTAGCAGTGATAGATGTGAAAGCCAATGCGCTGTTCTGTAGGTGTGGGGCTGCAGTTCCCAGCATGCAACACGGCTCAAATCGGTAATGAGAATTAATGTTTTACCGTTTACTGTTATATTATTGCACCAATGTTGTTATGTTTGTTGTCCCTTTGAGTTATGCAGTGTCAATTTTGAGTGCAATTTCACATGTAAATCATTGTGGTTTGCACTCCAAATTAATAGTGGTTATTCTAATTCATTTCATTGAGCGGGTTCTTTTGGATGGATTGCTTCAGTGAATGCATTCAAAAAATAGCTCGTCAGTTTAAATTAGTTTGAAATTCTTTTGCTATATTCATAACAAAATACTAGCATACTCCACAGTATATATTAAATGGCTGCCAATAAAAAGGGAAAAATGCATTTAAATATTAAAATTAATCAGAAAAAAATTATTTTATATATAGAAAATGTTACAATTATTTAAGGTTTTTTTGCATGGTGATATTATAAAAAAAATATAATAAAATAAAAATATTTTATTAAGCATAAACCTTTTCTCAGTGTATCATTAATCTAATTTAAAAAATGCTGTACTACTGTAATAAAATAATCCTGAATGATTTTTAATTTAATGTTTTTAAAATGTATTTTAAATCTGCATAATTGCATTAATCTTAGTAAATACTACCCTGAATTTCATATAATATTTTGACAATAATAAAAAGGGAAAAATGCATTTAAATATTAAAATTTATCAGAAAAAATGTATTTTATATATAGAAAATGTTACAATTATTTAAGTTTTTTTTGCATGGTGATATTATAAAAAAATATAATAAAATAAAAATATTTTATTAAGCATAAACCTTTTCTCAGTGTATCATTAATCTAATTTAAAAAATGCTGTACTACTGTAATAAAATAATCCTGAATGATTTTTAATTTAATGTTTTTAAAATGTATTTTAAATCTGCATAATTGCATTAATCTTAGTAAATACTACCCTGAATTTCATATAATATTTTGACAATATTCCAATAAAATTCCAAATTACAGTTTTTGTTCCTGAGTGTGTTTGTGCCATATACTGTGGTTTTAAAATGCCATGAAAATCTGTTTTGTTGTTTTAAATGGCTTAATTACACATTTCTCTTTTCCTTTCATAGATAGTGTTTTAACAGTTTTAACAGTCAACGTCTGTATCATGGGGAGCCTGCTGTTAACTGTTTCAGACTGTTTGTCTAAATATCATCTGTATGTGTGTTTCAGCATTGGGATGTGTTTAAAGTGATCACAGAAGTGTTCATCCTGGTACCTGCTCTGGTCGGGCTCAAAGGAAACCTGGAGATGACTCTAGCATCTCGTCTCTCTACTGCTGTATGTAAAAATACTTATCCATCTGGACAATATATTCATTACTGTATGTACAGTTTATATTACTTATAATCTATCTCAAGCTGTATAGTGTTTAATAGCCTTGAGATGATCAAGTGTGTCTCGTGATTAAATTAAAATGCTTCACTGCGGTTTTGTTTCCCGACTTGCTTAGGCTAACACCGGACAGATGGACGACCCCAAACAGCAGTGGCTGATGATGACCTGTAATCTTGCTCTCATTCAGGTGGCTGAATCAGAAACACACAGATGCTTTATATTATTGATATTTTACCTAATCCACCGGAAACCAGCTTTAGTTCCCGTCAGAGATAAATTAGACAATACAAACATGAATTAACTGGACAAACATTCATTAAATGTTAAATAAATATAAAAGAATATGAACAATTACTCTATGAGACTTCATTCTGCAAGAGTCCTCGGTCTTGAATACCAATGAGTACTCATTATGAAAATAGATTTTTAATCAGTTTAATTATGAATGAAGGCATATGATCTTAGGCTCTGATGAGCAGCTGTGATTGTGGAGCTGCTCTGCTGTCTTTCTCAGGTTCAGGCCACTGTGGTGGGCTTCCTGGCAGCTCTTGCGGCCGTAGGTCTCGGTGCTCTGTCCAGAGGGGGTGTAGAGCTGGACCAGGCGGCTGTCCTGTGTGCTAGCAGTGTTACCACTGCATTTGTGGCAGCTCTGTCCTTAGGTACACTACTCCTTATTACTTCAAAATAACATGAAATCAAAATGTGCTTTCTTAATAAATATCACTGGTCTTATTGTTTATGATTCACTAGTTTATGTTATGTAACATAAATATAATTTTCTCATTAGCTAGAAATATTTAGATATTTATATGCTTCTAAAATGATTTTAGTAACAAGCAACCAAGACTGCATAGGTGGAAAAAATGACATATCATAAATAAAATAAACTTTTCACAATCCACAATACAGATAAAATCAAGTTCCAATATTTCTTTCTGCTCAGTATATACAAAAATAAGTTTAAAAGTAAAAAAAAAAATATATATATATTTATATATACTGTACTATACCTGTTACTATATATATACTATACTGTTATTTTTAAAAAAATTTTTTTGAAGCAATAATTTATTAAATTGATCAAAGGTGACATTAAAGATATTTACAACATTTGGTTATTTCTATTCAACAAAGAATCCTGAAATAATGCATCACAGTTGCCACATATTAAAAAAATAGGAACACTGAAATCATGTGTGGGTGTTGTTTGTTATTTAAAAATATTTTATGCCTTACTCAGAAATGTATTCTACACAGTGTTGCATTGCACATCCTGTACAAGCTACTATGCCATTCCAGTACATATAAACAACATGAATTCCCGTCACATTTTCATTAAAACTGTCCAACAAAAAAGAATAGCCAAAAGAATAGCAGTCATTACTCCAGTCTTCTGTGTCATATGATCCTTTAGAAATCTTTGTAATAGGCTGATTCATGCTGCTTAATAAAAGCATTTGCATTCCAAAAAGTAGGACCTTTCTGGATAATGCAACACAATCTTTTAGTCTTTTTCTTTGAATCTTACATTCGTTTGAATATTACAATCTTACATTATCCTGTCAGTTACTGAGTCTGCTGCTTTCATCCGCATCCAGGTCTGGTGATGATCGGTGTGATCATTGGCTCCAGGAAGGTGGGCATCAACCCTGATAATGTGGCCACACCGATAGCAGCCAGTCTGGGAGATCTCATCACTCTTTCTCTGTTGGCTGGAGTCAGCAGCACACTGTTCCAGTACAGAGGTGTGGGGCCTTTTAGTTATTCATATATTAATAACTTCTAGTTTAAAACCTAAAACCTGTACATTACATATTGTTAAAAAAGGCTGACAATCACTAGATTAAAGCAGTGTTTAAAAAAACTTTTAGAAATTATTGTGCAATTTAAATTTTCATAACTTATTCAACTTGCTTTTATATATATTAAGTGATTATTAAAGGGGTCATATGATGCTTTTTAAAAGATCATTATTTTGTGTATTTGGTGTAACAGAATATGTTGACATGCTTTAGTTATAATGTATAATAAAGTATTAGTATTTTTTATTTATATTAATTAAATTAAATATATATTCAAATATTAACTATAAACAATTAAGTAAATTACAATTAAATCAATTAAAAATAAATAACTTTCTTTTAGAGCCTCTCTAAATATTCCTTACTTAATGAGCATGAACTGTTTAAAATGTACCAGAAGAGGGCAGTAGAAATTCACTAAAATATTACTTTATTACAAAGATGTGCATTTTAAGGTGACATGGTTTCCATGGTTAAAGATGACGTTAAAGAGTGGGAATCATCTTTCTATTTTGAAACATCACACGTTTTATTCTCTAGAGACCTTAAAATCTGAATTTGCACAAATCATAGCACATTATCTGAAATATGTAACTATTTACTATGTCTAGCATGTGTCATCGACAATGTTTGTGTGTGTCCAGATGTGTGGTACTTGTCCCCGTTGGTGTGTGTCTTCTTCCTGCTGCTCATTCCTCTCTGGGTGCTCATCGCTAGACGGAGTCCACAGATTAAAGAGGTTCTGAAGTCCGGCTGGCAGCCTGTTATAGTGGCCATGTCCATCAGCAGGTACAAACATGCATACAGAGACACAGTCTTCTATGAGTTAGAGTAACATTAAAATGGTTATATAATCATTAATAAAAAATTAATTGTGCCTGTAACAGAGGAAGCAGGGTTCCCACAGACAATATGTGACCCTGGACCACAAAACCAGTCATAAGGGTCAATTTCTCGAAATTGAGATTTATACATCATCTGAAAGTTGAATAAATAATCTTTCCATTGATGTATGGTTTGTTAGGATAGGACAATATTTGGCCGAGATACGACTATTTGAAAATCTGCAATCTGAGGGTGCAAAAAAATCAAAATACTGAGAAAATCACCTTTAAAGTTATCCAAATTAAGTTCTTAGCAATGCATATTACTAATCAAAAAGTTTTTTTATATTTACGGTAGGACATTTACAAAATATCTTAATGGAACATGATCTTTACTTAATATCCTAATGATTTTTGGCATAAAAGAAAAATCAATCATTTTGACCCATACAATGTTTTTTTGGCTATTGCTAAAAATATACCCCAGCGACTTAAGACTGGTTTTGTGGTCCAGGGTCACATATATAAATATCAAGAAATTTTAAAACTGTTTTTTTTTTTAAATAATCAATCAGTTGATATACATTTTTTTTTTTTTTTTTAATTGACTCAAAAATGATTAAACATTATTAGATTGAAATTGCTCAGTTTAAAGTGTAGTCAATTATCATAAATAATTGGACAACTAATGAAAATTAGTTGGCCTAAAAGTATGAGAACCCAGTTGATTAGCTGTGGCATAATTTTGACTAAGAGATTGACATTTAATTTTCACATAATTTTTGTGCTTAGAGCTCACAGAAAAAAATAGAGATGGTTCAGTTTACTCAGTCACTTTATTTTTTGTTTCTCTTCTAAAATATTAAATAATGTAAATCTCTAATATGTGTAATCTACTAGATTACATTACAATATATAGAACTAATTAATGTTGAAAAGATTATTGCTGTTGATATTACTCAAACTAGCATATTAGCATGCTAATATGTCCTATTCCTAGCTAATAGATTCTTTACACAGCTAACTAGTTCAACTTTGTAATTCAGTAATATAACAACAGAAATATTATATTAAATTCAATAAAATAATCCTTTCAGGGAACCATATAAAATAAAATAACAGTTTTTAAGTGACCCAATTAAGTAGGTCACTTAAAAGCAACTTAATTCCTATTAAAGTGGTCATATGATGTTGCTAAAAATAACATTATTTTGTGTATTTGTTGTAATGAAATGTGTTTATGCGGTTTAAAGTAAAAAAAACACATTATTTTCCACATACTGTACTTTATTGTTTCTCCTCTATTCCCCTCGACTTTAGTCTTTGCAACTTTACAGATCTTCTTTATGCACCAAGAGCTTGTAACACTTCAAAGAGAAAGGAAAAATTTAAATCACATCATATGACCCCTTTAAGTTACATTAGCATTTCCATGTTAGCAATTAGCAATTTTTTTCCTGATTAAGAATTATTAAAAAAAGAAGAAATAATTATAAAAACAAAACTAAAAAGATGTGCATGATTAAATGATGTAAATTCAAAACACTTTATTTTTTTACTATGGCAGAGTGACAAATGAGAGAAATATAATTTGTGGGTTAACTAATCAAAACATTTAAAATTCATGAAACTCTTTCCAATTTAAGTTTCGGAGGCCTTATTCTTGATAAGACTGTGAGCGATCCAAACTTTGAGGGAATGGCGGTCTTCACACCAGTCATAAATGGTGAGTAAATGTCAATGACAAATCACACTTCGAGCAAAGACACCTTTCATATACTCAGATCTTTCACATAACCACAAACCTGAAAAACAAGTTCAGAAACTTCATTTAAGGCCCTTTTCCCTCTACAACTTCTCATTACAATAAAATTAATCACATCTCTTTCTGCGTTTGGAACTCGATTCATGGATTCAGGGAGGCGATTGGACAGCGCTGCCAAAATAAAAGTCTCATTCCAAAATCGTCTCAATAAATCAGAGCACTGGCTCTTGGCTCACGACATTTTATAGTACATGAAAGAAGTCAAGTATTTTTAAGGGAATTACTAATAGACTTAAAAACCCCAGCTGAGGCAGAGTTTGTTTGGTTTTACGTAAAATATAACTTTTTTGGTTTGTCAGCTCTAGCAATCTGGTTTCGATTTCCCCTCGCTGGTTCCGTTTCTACCCAGCTGCACATGTGCTCTACCCGTCCCGTCCCTCTCGAACGATGACTCAACACTATATTGGCATTAACTACACACTTCCCAATGGGAATAGAGCATGTCGGAGTAGTAAAAGTGGCCTAATCCAGTAGTAGCTGTGATTTCTCAGCCAAAGACTTCTCTGACGTCTTCTCTAGTTGTTTATCTGGATCTGGCACCCTATTTTTCCAGCTCAATCCTGAGACAAACTGCCCTTAATGAGGAACACAAGACGGCTGTGATTCAGGAAGACTAATTTGATACTTCATTACCTAGTTTGATGTGCCCTCCTTCTGTAATATTCCCCATAGAGTGTCGTTTGCCAGTTTTACATCGAGCGAAAACATGGAAAAGCTATTAATTGTGAACAAAGTACTCTGAAAATATGCTTACGATGTATATTTGATGAACGTCAGTGTGCACACTCCCCTAGCCGCATGCTGCGTTCCAACACACATTTCATTTGCGACTGAAATGAGGAGAATATGAGAATCGTAATGGTGTAATAATTGGAAAGCTCTCACATTCTTTCCTTTTTGAAATTTTCAGGTGTGGGGGGGAATCTGGTGGCCATCCAGGCAAGTCGGATCTCCACCTACCTTCATTTGTGGAGCATACCTGGAGTCCTGCCCTATAAGATGAGACAGCACTGGCCCAACCCCTGTGCCACATTCTTCTCCTCAGGTGAGGTCACTTTCAAACTATTTGTGCACCTCTGATGAATTCACACCTTCAGATACTTGAGATAAAGTGGGTAATTAGTCGTGTTGGGTAAGTCAAGCTTTGCTATTGCTGAACAAAGCATGAACCCTGATATTTGCACTTCAGCACATTAATCATCTGCACCATTCGTGCTACATACATGAATGATATCTCAAACCATGCTGTTTTTTGAGGAGGGGTGTGCTGTTTATTTTCTTAAGTGTTAGACTATGATTTCACAACAAAAATAGTGTAGATTTACATTGAAAGAGAGACTTGAACCTTATTTAGAGACCACTCGGGGATAGGCTTTTGAAGTAATCTAGTAAAGAACCACATTTTTCTCCTCAGGTGTGAACTCTAAGTCAGCGCGGGTGCTGTTCCTCCTGGTGGTTCCAGGTCATCTGTTGTTTCTTTTTGCCATTAATATGCTCCAAGGAGGCCACACTGCCATCACGCCAGCATTTATCTGCTGCTACTTGGGTGCTGCTCTGCTTCAGGTAAGCCTTAGTGCTCAAAGCTTAAGTGTTTAAATTCTGCGTCACTAGTGCTGGCAAACAGAATTGCAAAAAGAATTAATGAATGACCACAAAAAAATGGCATAAATTTGTTTTTGCCCAGTTAAAAGTTTAGATGAACACTGACTCTGTATTAGTTGTTTACAGTGATATGAAACAAGCAATGTATATTACATTTTTCTCTCTTAGATTTTCATCATCTGGCTAAAAAGCATGAAAATAGTGCTTTTATTGTTTCAGGTCAAATGTGGAAATTGGTGTGACTATTCAGCCTCCTCCCAACTTCCTAATTGAATGATGTGGCTAAAAATACAATTTATTAGCATTATAAAATAGGGTGTGTTTTTAAATGTGACTAATCCTGTCTTAAAGGATTGTGCTTAAAGTCTTAAAGGGGTGGTTCAGTGTTTTTTTTCTAGGCTTGATTGTGTTTATGGGGTGCAGTCTAAACATGTGTTAATGCTTCGTTTTTAAAAAAACGCATTATTTTTCACATAATTTACCTTTATTCCACACTACTCTGTCCCTTCTCTGAGAAACGGGCTGATCTTTTCCTGTTTTTTTGAAGCCCCGCCCTCAGAAATAGGCGATGAGCACTGATTGGTTAGCTAGCCCAGTGTGTTGTGATTGGCTAAACCGTCTCTTGTGCGTCTCTTGTGCGCCTCTAAACGTCCCGCCCCTCACCTCGGTGGCATGTGCTCCGGTTGTATTGTAAACAACGGCGTCGTTAATATCGCTTATCATTTTGAGCCCGGTTGAGAAGCAGAGGATATTGATACGCTGTTATTTGTAAATGCTACTACTTATGTTAGACTTTAATATACGGTTTTATCCTGATTAAAGCTTTAATACCGTACGGCAACTGCACGCGCGTCCATGTTTAACGCTTCTCATAGCTATGTGAAAATAAATGTATAATTGGAACAGTTCATTGTTGGAGCTGAGCTGATGAGAGAGAGAGATGCAGAGCATGTGCAGAGCAGGGGGACGCGAGGAACAGTATTAAGAACCGCTGCTTTAGAACATTGATTTTGAAACTTGTGAATCCATTAGAATCATTAGAAGACAGAATCACAATTCATATATGAATAGATTTTTACGTGCACCTCTAGTTTTCTCTTCCTCTTCTCTAAAGCAGCGCAGCCTGGCCTCGCCCCCTTTGCTGCCTTTTCCCGAGAGCGGGGTTTATCTGGGTTTGTGATGTCACAAACCCGGGAAGTAACTCGTTGTAGTCCCTACCAGCCGTTTTTGTAGGCATTAAACTGCCAGAATTTTAAAAGACGATATCTCCGTTTGCATTGAACTTTCAGCTTCGTAACTTTGCAGATATTGTTTATGCTCAAACAGCAACATTACACACTAACTAACGTTAAAAAAGTGAAATCGCAATCAACCACCCCTTTAAAGAAATCTCTTGGAAGTAAAATACTAATAAAGGACCCCAAAAGGAAGTAAAGATATTGGTCAGTTTTACTACTATATGTAGAGTAATACAATATGTACAGTAATAGTGTGAAATATTATTCAGTTTTTAACTCTTTTCTATTTTACTATATTGTAAAATATAATTTATTCCTGTGATGAAAAGTTGAATTTTCAGCATCATTACTTCTGTCTTCAGTCATATGATCCTTCAGAAATCAATTTTATATGCTGATTTGCTGCTTTATGAACATCAGTGTTTATCTGTGTTTAAAAAAAGCGCTGATTTTTTGTAGTTTTTTTTAATAAATATAAAGTTCAAAAGAACAGCATATATGAAAAAATATATATAAATGTCCTTATAATTGTCCCTTTTGATAAATTGTGTGCCTCCTTGCTGACCAAAAGTATTATTAAAAGTATTAATTAATAAAAGATTAATATTAATTTCATTTAAAAAGAAAAATCAGTCTGTTTTCATAATAATTGAATGTTTATTCTTGTTTTTCTTCACAGGTTGGGATACTAATTTATACAGCAGACCTGATTGTGCGTTTGGTGTGGAGGAAAGGTCTGGACCCGGATAACTTCTCCATCCCATACCTGACTGCGCTGGGAGACCTGTTGGGCACGGGTTTCCTGGCCCTGTGTTTCCGTTTGGTCATGTTAGTGGAGGGGCTCGGCTTGTAAAATGCTAGACCCCCCCCCCCACCACTTCCTACTCCAGCTCCCAGTTCACGGGACCTTTGCTGCCGAGGTTTTGGAGATGTGAACTTGTCTGTGGGAAGCTAAAGACAGAATATCAGCCACATTGTTTTTGTGCTTACAGGATAGGTTGACTAGAAATATGAAAAACATCGGCAGGTATGTTCTTATTACCTGACAGCCTGTTATATGATTATACTCTTGGTGTGTTGTCCTCGCCTCAGTGATGCTGCTTTCATACACACTAGTCGCCTGATTACTGTATATTAAGGTATAACTTTAGGTGCAAGTGTTACAAATTTTTATGTGCCATGTATAAATAGAATTTGAAGTTTACAAGATTTAAGACCTTGAAGGATTCTGGGATGTTTGTTTGATATTTATTATTTTTTTATTTTAAATATTGTTTTTGAATATATGATTTAGAATTGATTTCAAAGAAAATGGGAAAGTCTCAAAACTTTGAAGGTCATTCCTTTGCTGTTTTAGTAACTACATACAAGGTCATAATTGCTGCTAGATATTTTTACTGGATACTATATCTCATATATAGAGAGTCTACTGTACCTCTCAGCTTGTAATTTTTTTGCACCTGAAATATTTTTTTCTCAAAATACCACACTTTGGAAAAAGGCAAAATCTTATAATGAATGTAATTGTTTGTTCACTTGAATGAATTGATGGCAATTATATTGTTCATGTGGCAGTTTTATTCAACACATTTGTAATATCTTCACTCTGAATTATAATTAACCTTAATCACATGATTTATCTACAGTTGAGTGTTGTGGTCCCTAAAACAGTAAAACAAACAAAAAAAATATTCACATTTTTCCAGAAAACAAAGTTTCACTGTCGTACCAGAGGCAGTGTGCCTTTATAATTAAATGTTAACAAAAAAAAAATTAAAGCACATGAAATAGTCACGGTTGGTTGATGTATTCCCTGTTGTCCTCTAAAAAAAATTTAAAAGTTTATTTACCCTTCAAAGCAAGATTCCATACTGTCTAGTGCACAGTTTTGCAGCACATGTATGCCCACAAGCTTTCAAAACAGGTGCAAACTGTTAAGTTACATCACAAATGGCACATACTGTTGCCACACTCTCAACAGCTCAGCTCATACAGTGAAAGGCTTTCCCACACTCACATTTCCCATATGAATCCTCTAACAACACATTCATAATTTGACATCAGAATAATGACATTATGACAGGACAAAAGCACTGGGACTCCTGCAACTTTCAAATCGAGACATGACATTCCTCTTCAAATGATTAAATATATTGCCCATTGAAATGTATTATAAACCTAGACTTATAGATGACTCCCTTTGTCCTTACAAAAGGCTGTAATATTCCAGCTCAAAATTGAAATGAAGCCTAACTAGCTAGATAGAAAATATTTTCCAACAAAACATTTCCAAGAGCAATTTGGGAAGGTTCGTTATGCAATGTGGCACACAAGGTACCCACTGGTGCACCAGGACATGTCTGCCTGTCAGCCAGATATTAGTCAGACTCCTTCTGACCCTTTCTCTAAAGATTTCATCATCATTTCAACCATAAAAGCCTATATAAATAGCCTTTTTCGCAGACAAGAAGAAATACCTAAATTATTCAGGGTCATTTCAACCAAGTGCTAATGACCCAAAAGAACAGTCATGAAAACTAATAAGACATTAAACTGAACTGTCAGGGATTGATTTTCTCTCACTTTAAGAGTTCTAAGGGATAGATAATCCTCTAAACACATACTGGTACCTCTCTAAAAACCTTTATTGCACTTCAACCCTTATTATAAATTCATAAGACGAGTGTTTCCTCCCAGGATCATGCTGATGTTTGACCTGCAATGCCCAGTGAGTAGTTTAGACCTCACCCTGCATCCATAGCTTAACAAGAGCCGCACTGATGAGGGTCTACCTTTCCCCAACCACAGCTATGCACTGTTTACCTAGCCCGTTACATGCTAAATAGAGGTGACTCTGTGAGAACACCATTTCTTTCCAGAGTAGCTAAACCGGCCAAGGTAGACAGCCTTGTCCAGTTTGCGAATGCAGGAGAAGTCTAAATTCTTCCCTTACCCTTGTCTCCTTCCAACATGTTACCAGCTATCTGCTTGAAAAAGTTGACAGTTTGTGACTTGGAAACTACTTTTGTGATTGGGCGTAAGGTTAAGGTCTGAAATCATATCCAGGGAATGTTAAAAAGGAGGCTTTGAGATCAGCTTCAAGGAATCTCTTCGAGATTAACGTCAAGGCTTTGCTGGTTCCAGTTCAAGAGCAAAATCCACAATAAATATGCTACGTAAACAATACCATAAATATCCTTTTGGGTGGTGAAAATTAAAGGAGATGAAACATTCATAGCATTTGTCTGTTGATGAAGAATCCCGCTTCACTTATCAACATTCAGAAGGACAAAGGCACATACTTGGAGCTCGGTCGCAAGTTACCAAAGCCAAAGGAATTTCAGACAGTATTTTGTGAACTTTCGGGATGGGATGAAACACCCCAGCCAGCACTAATCTGTTCACAATGCTGAATTTTGCCTCAAGGGAGCGAGGGCGACGCCATATTCAAGGCGCATCCTCTACAGGTTCCCTCAGGTAATTCACTCGAATCCAGACACAAGAGCGAAAGTTTAAGCATCAGTGCCCGCAAGACTCACATCCGCGTGTGCAAGTTATGGATTAGTTGAAACTTGCTGAAACCCTCATCTCAACTTCAAGTATGCCGGCACAGAGTAATTAAAAAGCAAGAAGTCCATTCGGTAAAGGTTGAAGAGTTTCTTCTGGTAAAACGGACTGATGTTGTCGAAGAACTTGGCGGCCATGTCACCCGTGGTCCTGGTGCTTTTGGACGTGGCCGGGAATTTGACCTCTCCTTCGGCACCTGCTAACTTCAGGATGTAGCGCGAATCTTGCGCAAGAGACTCGTACTTGCCCACCACGTCATAATGGATCAAGCAAGGGTGGCAAAGCGAGTGAACCCTTTCCCAGTGCTCATTGAACGGTTCCTCTCTCTGAGTTTGGGGGTCTACTAAATAATACACAAATTCCTCGAAGGAGACATCGTTGCCTTTTTCCAGTGCTTCAGCCTGGGGGTCCGCACGATGCCTCCGGATGATTTTGGTCCCGTAGCGTTTGTGGAAGGCCGTGTTGTAGCTACGGGTAAACTTGTTGCGATATGCCGAGACAAGTCTTTCGACGGGTTCGCGCACAAAGACGAACTTCAGATATGTGCGTAGGCGCTTGTTGATCTCAGCCGTGGAGTACTCTGAGAGCGAACGCAGGTTGCCCGCTACGTGAGCCTCGTTGGCCGGAATAGCCAGTGGTTCGTGATAGCGCCCATCTCCTGTTAGTACCATCAACACACGTTTCCAGTTTGTACATGCCACTTTGGGGACATAGCAATACAATAACTTGTGTTTATCGTCCACTATGAGGTGGCGGAGGTCCTCCGGGCCAAGTACGCGTCTTTTGCGGGTGTGGGTGCGACAGGTTTCCTCCAGGAGTTCCCTTCGACCCTGCAGAGTGGCTTGCACTGCAGACTGCTCCAGCTGGAGGACAGGAAGGAATGGTATAAGAGGAAATGGAATAAAAAAAAGTCACATGGGTTCAGAACAGAATTTCATTTTTGGGTGAACTATTGCTTTAAAACTGAAGTCTTTTCTTCTGAAACCGAATGTAGGATTTCTTAACAGTGCACTTATGGGAACCACAGATTGCACTACATGCGAACACATGTATTTGCGTGACTTTATGTGATACGACAGTTGCTGTTTGAGGGAAGTTCTTGTGAAACCATGAGGCACATAGCTGTAATGGGAGGGTAACGGTTTTGCCTGGGGGATGAGCCACAGATGGGTTTGATAACGGCAAGAATATAATAGGATTTGATGAGCTGGTAGTGTTTCAACTGGAAGGATTTTATCTAGACGTTCCACTCAGACCTTTAAAGGGATAGTTCACCAAAAAATTAAAAGTCTGCCATCATTCACATCATGTCATTCTAAACCCATACAACTTACTTTTGTCCGTAAAACACAAGAGCATCCTGGCTGTTTGCTTCCATTACACAGTGAACAGATTCTGTAAATCTCCAAGACTATTGTATGGCTTTTTAAAAATTTTAATATGGTGCACAAGTTATGCGGATTACTCTTAATATACTATGTTTGCCAATTTTGACATACCCAGTTATCTTTTACTTTTATTATATGAAAAGAGTAGCCAGGATTATTCTCTTTTCAACAGAAGAAAGTCAGTCATACAAATTTGGAAAAACATGAGCAGTCTAAAACATACTAAGTTAAGTACTACCCTGGCACAGTTGTGATGCATATAATTTCGTTTTGTCAGATGGTTTGCATGTGTCTTTATGAAATGATGATTGTGTAAAAATAAGGTGTTGGGGGTGAATGAATTAAGCCACTTCAGGAATGTGAGGTTGTTATTTTAGTAATCCCTACCTGGTCATTTTCTTGTAGTGTCTGCAAAGGACTTCTTCCCGATTTAACTGAGAAACTGTTCCAGCCCGAAATCTGTTCAGAAGCTACAAGCACACAACAAATGCAAAATATGAGAAATGGCAACAGAAAGATAATGGATACAAAAGCAAAACATTTAGACATCCATTAAACATTTGTAAACTTAAACATTGGTAAACATTGGTTAATTTTATTGCTATTACATATGGTCATTGTAAGAACAAGCCTCTAACCCCTAAGCTTTAAACTTCGGTGTGCATCTCGCATTGAGAGCTGTACTAGTAATTTATGCTAAACATCTTTTTTAACCATACATTGAGTGCATTAGCTTATATTAAAGGAACTTATATTGACCAGAATATCATAGAGACTCAAAGGTGGGGTCTTTTGATGTGGGCTAATGAAACCACCCAGAACACCCTAGAAACCACATAGCAACATGCTAAAAACCACTCTGAACTCCCTAGCGACCACATAGTACTGCCTTGGCAACCACTCACAACATCCCAGCATTGTGACAGCAAGTTCTGCATGTTCAAGCACCACTCGAATTTTCCTCCGAAAGAGCTTCTTTGGGGTTAAGAGACTCATGACCTTGTGTGGAGAGGACAGAGATCAAAGCGCTTTGTCTGAATGATCACGTTATGGAGCTATAAAAGATTAGAGCTGTTAATTCTCAGCATATGGGGTCCAGCGGTGTTCAGGCTGGTCCACAATTACTGCCTTCTCTGACTCCTGCACCTAGCTGATCGGCCATAAAATTCCTCCTTCACATTTGCATTCTCTATAGGAACAGTCTGTTCTCTTCAGTCCAAGCCACTTCCCCAATTGCTCCCCTTCTCACCCACTCACTCTCTCTCTCTCACACACACACACACACACTCCACTTCAGTCTGTGTTGGGGCCCTTGCTGCTAACGTAAGTGATTGGTTTTGCACATGTGCCAGCTAAGTCAAAGGGATACTTTAAATGCTCCGAAAGGGAGCGCAAGCTAGCAAGTCTGGACACTGAGAGAGTAGAGGAGTAACAATCATGGCAAATCGAGAAAAGGCACTTTCTGGTAATAGCTTCTAAAAAAGAAAAACCCAAAATGTTATTTTTCAGTAAATGGTCAGTGAAAGGAGGTGCTTAACTCTCAAAAACGCTGATCATCAATCTCAGAAGGACAAACTAAAAGCATTTAAGATTCTTATAAAAGTCTTTTTATATCAATAAACACAAAAAAACATCATAATTAAATTAAAAAATGATGCTAAAATCAGATAATTTATAAACAATATCTAATGTAAAAAAACGCTTAAAAAATAATTAGTGGTACACCAATTTGTACCATATCGGTGGAAAGTGTCAAAAGACCTAGTAGAAAAATATTAATTATATGAGGATCAAATTGAAAATGGAAGGAAAGAAGAACATGAAATAACATGGAAGGGGCAGAGAGAAGGAAACGGGGAGGGGGTTGAGTACATATACAGAGCAAAATTTCTGCTATGAAAGCAGGCGCTGATGGCTTTCCCAGCCTTTACATACACTCATTATTCAACTGGACAGATGGATAAATTAAATGAATATAAAACTATAAATAAGCCAACACAACATGTAAATGAATAACTTCTACAGTGAAAATTAAGTCTAAATGTGCTTATATTTATTTTGTTTTTGGGCTTATTACTGTATTACAGTTACAGTAAAGAGTGACAGTGCAACATTTGCAAGTAAAATGCTTTTGCACAATGAAGTCTATACTAAGGATGTGCAAGTTTTCAAAAACAAACAGCCAGAGCATGATAACAAGTACTCTAAACCAGTGGTTCCCAACCCTGGTCCTGGAGGCACCCCAACACTGCATGTTTTGCATGTCTCCTTAATCAAACACACCTGATTCAGATCATCAGCTCATTAGTAGAGACTCCAAGACCTGAAATTGGTGTGTCAGAGAAAGGAGACATGCAAAATATGCAGTGTTGGGGTGCCTCCAGGACCAGGGTTGGGAACCACTGCTCTAAACAAATAGTAGAATCTGAACGGCTAGTTCACTTATCAGCCCTGTATTATAAATAAGCTGCAAAATTAAGGCATGTGAATATTAATTAATTCAGTCATGAAGATGTTGCTTGGTAACCTTCCTGGAGCATCTAGTCATAAAACTTAATTAATATTCATGATTGCTTAATTCGCCAGATGATTAGCACCCACTCAACAACGTCTGCCTTTCAGCCAATACATTAGACCTGCTCAGTGAATGACGAAAAAAAAAATGTTAGCATAAAGTCTTGAGCTGTGTTGCTCACATACGTTTCAATGTGAAATATTTGAGGTAAAATATGCTCCTATGTGTTGCAAAAACTCATATTTATGACCCAGTGAAGTCGGTTTCCTCACAACAGATAATTCAGTTGCTAAATGTTAGTGTACAAAGTCATAAAAAAGGAAGTATTTAGTGTTACCAAACACCATAATCTGATGTCTGTGCCAAGTACAAACATATCAGAGCTGCCATCGCAAAATTATGTCTTTTCACAATATACTCCTAATCATAATCAACAGATGGGAATCTTTTTCTAAAAGGAAGTCTTAAAGTGTATGCAAGAGGCCGTTAGGAGCTGTCTGATTCACAACCACAGAATGACGTGCAAGCTAACTTCCTCTTGTGACTTTTTTTTTTTTTTTTACAGGAACATAGTAACTTATAAAGAATTGCTAGAAGAAAAAGACAAAATTGAAGTTTAGAAACAACACAGTATCACCCAAATAAATACTAGATGAGTTCCTCAAAACAATCCTAAGCTAAGCACTAACGGCTTCCAAAGGTGGGCAACAATGAGGTCTCTTTTTAACCTTGTTAGTATGCACTATGAGTGAGGTTCCACAAGTCAACCGAGGCCAGGCGGCGACAACAAAGGTTGTTTGCTGGAATGCTACACAGGCTTGTGGCCATTTATGTTGGCCTGTGAGGGTTTATAGAGGACAACACACAAATCAGCAGGCTTTTATCAAAAGTTTGCAAGGTAATGGGCAGGAAGCCCTCCTGCGGTGCTGCAACGGCTCCTTTACTAATCGAATTCTGCTCGGCCTCGTGTGGAGAGAGTTTTTTGTTCTGTGCGGTGACTTTTGAGTTTTTGTTTTACTCCCGAAATCAAATGATTTATCTTCTCAATTGTCTTCACAGCTGGTGCTCTCGCCCCTATAGTCTAAATATAATTAGACTGCGGTACATGGAAACACATTCAAATGACTTTGAGGATCATGTTACTCTGGTTGAAACAACAGTGGAAACATAAGAGCTCGTGCTTCCTGGATGCTGTGAGTGATGTCAGGAAGCATCATAAATGTGTCATGAAACCCATCAGAATTAGAAGTGAAACTAGTCTGATGATGAAATCAGAACGTTTCACAAGTTGTTCTTATTCATGCAAATGTGCATTAAAACCATTTGCCACAAGTCTTGACTCGTGCATGTTTTCCCAGAAATTGCTACTTCAAAAACACAATTTCCAGTAGTATATTAAGACATAGGCTAAGATAGCGCAGACAAGTATGAAACTGACTTACTGTAACTTCTAGTTTGTCAATGTCCTCTTTTGTACCTTGTAGGGGTCAATGACAAGAGTTTTTTGTATAATATTGTAGCTCAACATTGACAATTTTTCCATGACTATTCAAAAAGTTTGGGGTCATTAAGATTTTTTTACATTTTTTTTTACATTTTTTGAAAGAAGTCTCTTATGCTCATCAAGGCTGCATTTATTTGATCAAAAATACAGTAATAACAGTAATATTGTATTTTTCTTTTTTACAATGTAAAGTGAAAAAAAATGTTTTTTACTTTCACCGATTTCTATTTTATATATATTAACAACATATTTATTTTAATTTATTTCTGTAATGACAAGATTGAATTTTCAGCAGCCATTACTCCAGTCTTCAGTGTCACATGATTCTTCAGAAATCATTCTAATTTTCTGATTTGCTGCTCAAGAAACATTTCTTATTATTAAAATTATTGAAAACATTTGTGCTGCTCAACATTTTTGTGATATACATTTCAGGAACTTTGATGAAGCATTTATTTGAAACTGAATTTTTGCCACAATGTAAAAGTTTTTACGGTCACTAGATCAATTTAACGCATCCTTGCTGAATAAAAGTTTTCATTAAAAAAAAATCATACTGACACCAAACTTAAATTATGAGGATTAATATATAATGTAGACCATAGAATTTCTTTTCATTTCTGTCAAACCTTGAATGTTAAATTATGGTGGATGTTCTTTACATAAGCACGCCATAATTCTAGGAGCTGCAAAATTGAGGCAGTAATGAAATGTTAAGCTATGAAACAAGAACGAACATGATTGAGAATTACTGATTTGATCAAATTACAGTGCACAATTATTAAAATGCTCAGGCTGAAATTCTAATGAATACCTACTGAGACCTGTTTCTGTAAAAATGAGTTTTACTTGCCATAAAGTGTTCTTATGGCAGAGGGGAATAGTTTTCTAACTAAAGCAATCATTTTCCTTTCTGCCCCAAGCACACTAGGAAGTAGAACTCCAATGTGTGCCTTAATATGCCATAAAGCAAAATCCATTACCAAGTGAGGAATGTGCTTAATCAGAGATTTGGATAAAGTTACGTCCACTCAAAGTGGCCCAGCGCATCCTGCTGTACAGTATTCCATTCATAGCATGATAAATGATAACTATAGACAAAATTGAGAAGACGGAAAGAGATGCATATGATATGAAAAGGTGAAGAAAGACTGTGCTTCTCTCTTTCTCTTCAGAGCCTGTGTGAGGGTGTCACTTTATCCCTGACTAACATAGAGCCATGACTGTTCATCCCAAATCCCAAAATTCCATTTTAGGCTGGAAATTTCCTCATTTATTATGCCCTTCTCTCTTTCCCAGTCCTGAAGCATGAACAAATTAAGAAAACAAAAGAGAAGACACAACAAATGACGTCCCTCAAGCTGTTCTACATCAAGAAACTGCCTTCTATCCAAACGAGTGCAGTGTTTGGCAATCAAACAATCTGTTCATGTCCTTTGCGTGATTTGTTT